CCGCTCTTGATTGTCTTGGCCACTCTCTCTTTTACCAATAATTTTTTTAATCTTCATTTTTATGCCCTTTCGCACTTGTAGAGGTGAACTATATTCAGGTGAATTTTTTCAAGTAAAATTTGCCCTTGATCAAGTCGTAGTTTGACGAGATTTACAGTCATTTGCTGATTATTTTCTGGTAGCAAAACACTTGTCTATTTCTGTAATAAGTCCAGACATGTTATATATTTCTTACTGCTCGCTAATGTAACAGTTTGAAATTCATCACCGGTCTTTTCAAAGTGGTTATTGCGAGAAAACGATTTTATTGACTGCTCAAGCGAAAAATCGTCTCAGTAAAAACGCTGTTAAAAGCAGATGATAAAACGTTCGCAATCTGATGCACGCAGCTTCCCAACCGCTAAAATGCCACACAATGTTACTTCTGGACTGTTGCCCGAAGAACTTTTATTAGACCCGAGTTTCCTGTTCCGGTCTACTAATCCAGTCTGTTAAACTATAAAAACCTCAAGTTGCATCCCATGTGTCACATGCCGTAGGTAACGAACATTATTTATCGACATTACCATGAAAATCTGTTGCTTCTCTTCCTCCGATTCCTTCCGATTTCGAACTGACGCCCTTTTTTGTACTATTTTTATACTATTATTTTGTCCAAGAAAAATGCCCTTTATACAAGAAAACTGGAGGTATTTTTACAGATTAGAAAAGCTATTATTTTTTGTTCTTCTCGAAACCACCGCACTTTAGGTTTTAAGTAAAAGTATTTTTTTAGGAAATTAAATATTTGCTGTCTGGTTTCAGGTGTTTAATCTCTCGGAACCCAAAAGAGCGCTGAGAAGCGAACACAAATACGTGAAAGAAGTAGGCTGGACTCCAAACTTGGCACCTCCACTGGAAAGGCTGTGCAGTGTTTGTAAAGAAATCGATTCCTGGTTATCGAAAGATGTACATAGAATAGCGGTGCTGCATTCAAGGTAAAGGCCACTTAGCTGGGTCAACATTTACTATTGGAAATTTCGTTATGTCTAGAAAAAAATGCTGAAGTTGTTTTTATTCAATTTGCTCAGCTTTGCGTGATCTAAAACCCTTTATGTGCAGGTTTTATAGTGAGAAACAAGTTTGGTTTATTAGTGGATTCTTTTGCAGAGGTTCAAAGGAAAAACTAGGAGTAGTGGTGGCAGCTTACATGCACTATTCGAGCATTTGTGGAACAGCCGAACAAGCCCTGGATAGATTTTCGATGCGGAAGTTCCTAGATGATAACGTTGGACCTTTAAAATTGCCTTCTAACAGGCGGTAAGTTTCTTTAACTCGTTAATCGATTAATAGTGAAACAAAACAGTTTTTCGAGGGGCAAAGATGCCAACATCAACGCGATAATGCCAGTAAAAAAATTATAAATAAAATTGTTACTGATAAATGAGAATTTTAGGAATTTGCTCGATTTTAAAGCGAAAAGTTGCGAAAGTGAAAGTACAGCATCAAATTTGAGGTACACAAGGTGTTCAGGAATATCAGCGAGTTAACTTAAATGTTATATTAATAAAAGTGCCTTTCCAACATACCCTAAAACTTGATTTTTCATTGGGCTGAAACCTTTTTTGGAATCTATTTTGTTAATAAATGCTGTTTTAGCTACGAGCGTCACAATATAATTTTTTACGTGAATATTGCCAGCACTTTTTTGCTTGTGATCTTTATCCATATTTGGCTTCGAATTATTGAATCACGAATTTTTCTAAAAAGTAAGAAAGTAAATTATCCTTAATTCGTCTCATTTGAACTGACGTTTTTGCAAAAAACGAGTTTTAATGTGATGCCATTAATCATGCCTTGGTTTATAAGCCAAAATTATAACATGAAATTAGAATACATGTTTTAGTAATTTCACAAACCGAAAAGTTAGAGACATTTTTCGGTTGGAGGCCCGTTTTAAGTGACGCTCCTGATTAAAATCAGCGTTTATTAGCACAGAGGCATTTTGCACTTTTTTCTTATTTAAGATTTGCAAATTTCAAAAAATGCTCTCTAAAAAATGGAGCAAAAAAGTCAAAGTTGCAACAGTTTGCAGAAACAATTTCTGAGGTCTGTTTATATGATATTTTGTAATTATTTTAATCTTTCGATTCACCTCTTAAAATAACTCAATATTTTTCTACACTTCTTAGATGTGTATTGATAGTTCTAATCCATTTATAATCATTTTGGCCGTCGCTCGATTTAAGTTAAAAAATAAATATGACACTTCATTAAATAGTTGTATTAATTTCTCCACCGTACTTTGATCTTGAATTTTTATCTTGAGTTTTTTTCTGATTTTTTTTTCGCTTTGCAAAAAATTTTTCCTATTTTTTTATATGTATTTTAAAGATTTTTGCAAAAAAATTGAAATTCCATCCAAAACCAAAATTTCTTAGGTTGGTAGGTAATTCATAACACGGACCAAATATTAAGTAATAGTTAAAAAAACGATTCAAATATGTACGTTAATGTAGGTCCGATATAAATAGCGTGTTTGTGAACGTTTTAAGTGCCTCGAAGGAAACAATAAATGTGTTTTTCATTGACAGAAATTCTGATAACTGGCACGTAATAGATGCATTGTAAAGATAAAATTGATAGTTAATCATAGTGGTTTAGCACATTTCAATAGAAGCACACTTATCAATATTATTATTATGTTTGTCATAAATTTTTGTATTTTTTTTTCAGATACGTAGACTATTTTGCTGGTCTTCTATCACACAACATCCGAATCAATGCGGCTCCATTGTTTTTAACGCACGTCACTGTTTTGGGAGCTCCATCCTTTCTGAATGGAGGTTGCAAAGCGTTTCTCAAACTTTACGAAGGACACACTCCAGTTTACACTTCAGGTAAACCACTTTCAATCAAATTTGCAAAATTTCACACGGTGAATTTGACTTTTTCTCAAAGAATTAAAGGTGCAACTTTTGCGCATGATGATATGAACAGTTCTAGTATGAAGTTACCGTAGTCCTCAACTTCAACAACAGTTGAAACCCGAAATTTTGAATTTTTCAACCCTGATTGATGTGTTTCTTTCAGGCGTTTACAACGTATCCGGTGGCATATCGCAATTTACAGTCAATATAGCAGGCGAAAGAAAACGTGGCCTTCAACTTCGTGGTGATATATTAATTAAGTGCTACCATCGTGGCTTAGGGAATGATCGAGAGGTCATTTTCGCCTGCCAATTTCATACCTGTGCAATAGCCGATCATACTCTCAGCTTTACCAGACAAGAACTCGATGGCGCATCGAATGGTAAGTTGCGCCTCTACATTTACAACGTCTGATAAAAATTCGTAAAAGCTTTATCCGCTAATTAAAAAAAATCGATTAAAGTTTGAACCATCTTTTTCAATGGTCTCTGGTGCAGACTGCGTGAACTAATCCAAATTGCTGAAGTTTAAAAATTTCCACATGATTTGTTGTTGATAGCACTTGCACATTCCCATTGGATAATGGGTTCGTTGCCATCCATAACTTTTAATTGCGCTTGAACAAAACTCAATATGTATGTGCTTATTTCGATAACCTTTCCAAAAAAATTAAAACAATTGATCAAATTATCGGTGCTGAGCGATTACATGCTTTGGAAGCCCGAATTTTTTTGTTAATCTCCTCAGCCGTCTATTTACCTGAATTGTTGATAAAAAATCAACATCCTATTTTTAGTTATTACGCTGGTTGCTCACGTACACCATCACATCTATTGATTAGGGATATATAGTTGACTGGAAACGTTCTAGTTCAAAACAGCACCATTCAGGTCGCAAAATATTTTTTTATAACGGCACAAATTATACTTCTTTATGCAATTAACATTAATTAGCAGTAAATTCCTGGAGATTCCCGATTTTCTTTAAAACCTTTGAAGGCTGGCACTAATAATGCGCTGACGTTCATAGCTCTCTAACTTATTACTATTATCATTTGACGATAGCAGTTGATAGATTATTCCTTATCAGGACTAAGCTATATTGCGAAAAGCCTGGGCAGACAAATCGCAGCCCGAATATACGCGAAAAACGTCTGTTTTCCTACACCTATGTTAACTTTTCCACGAACATTATTTAAAACTGAATGATGTTCGAAATGAGGGGCAAATTTGTGAGAGTTATGTTTTCAGGTGCTTTAAACCTCCAGTAGTGCGAGTGAAATTTCTAATAAGCAAATGTTTCAGATTACAGATTTCCTGCAGATGGGGCTGTCGAGCTGCATTTTTCTCCGGGACCAGAAACACGACATCCAGCTCCGGCTCCCACTCCAGCTGTTCCCTACACAGCAGCCCTTGACGATCCAGTTATACGAGCGGACAGTCCTTTTGCTTCAGGGGAGTATGATGGAGATGATTCCGATTCTGGTAAGTTTCTTTGAAGACAAAACTCACATTTTATTCTTTAAAAAAATGGGTTCTTCAATAATTTGAAGCCATCCAACCCTTTCAAACTAGTGGCAAGATATTTATGAGAAGCAATTTATTAACCAGGGCAAAGATTTTCGAACGTTGCCCGATATAATCTTCCTTCGCGTCATTAATTTACTTTTTTGCACGAAGTTTTATCATCATTCAGGCAGGGTTAAGAGAATTTAGTGATGCTGCATAACTAGTAATTTTTTCAAATTAATAATTAACGTTTTGCTTTCTGCAGCTGGAAAATTTGTTTTTTTCCGAAACATCCGGTTTTTGCAATCGGGGCGGTTAAAAGTCAAGAGCCAAATTCAATAGAGCTCCGCTCAAGAACATCGCGTGATAAAACCATAATCTCCAGATAACAAATAATAATTCAATGTCTAAATAATCCCGCAGATTTTTATGATTTTAGTGCCCACAAATGCCTGGCTGGTTTGAGCGTTGATTAAAATTTCCAATTAGTTTGTTCAACGCTTCAAACTCGGACTTTTAGGCAATAAAGAGCGGATGCAATGCACCGTGCTTATTTTACTTTTAGCCATCAGCCAACGCAAATTGCAAGGTAGTTCGTGTTAGCCTATAAAACAGCCTGCGGATAATCTGCAGTAAAACAAAGATCGGCAACACGCAACAGCTTTTCATCTGAACCAACCGAACCGACATTTTGCTCCGGGGTTTTATGCTAGGAATAAAAAACTGACATCCTAAACAGTCAGCACGATCTGGCTTATTTTCTTAAATTTGTGCATATCAGTTAACAGAACGAAATTTATTTATTGCTTGAAGGGAAATTTGTTGAAGTTAAATACGAATTTCTGGTTTTAATTAGTTTTACAGTTAAAAATCGTTATTCCCTGCTCTATTTGTGTTTTCTTCACGAGGGAAGTTTTTTGAGAAAACGTTATTTACTTTTTCTACAAACTTTTAATTTAGCTTTTCGTATTGTGCTAACTGGGTTTAAGCAGAATTTCCCAACCTTCAATAGTTTAGAATCACAAAAATTAAAATAAATAACATGACTGACATTTAAAAACAAATACAAGTAAGACTAAAAAATGTCAAATCCTCCCTTTAAATACTTTGTAAATGTGCAAAATAAGCCAGAGAAAAACTGGTAACAATACCTTCTAATCTAATTGTTTTTTTTTTATAAAATATGTGCCGAAACTTTTCGAAAAATATTCGAGTAATTATTGCTTTTACCATCACATTTCAAATTATGATAATTCAGAATTCTGTTTTTCACAAAAACTTTGTTTTTCTTATCTGCTTCAGTAGGAAAAGTGATTTAAATAATGGCCACATATAAATTCGTAAAATTGCACCTTCGCCTAGATTTAACTTAAATAAAGATATCTCCTGCGTTGAAATATTTGCTAGTAGTGACGTGAGCCAATTACAGTGATCAGTTGCAATTATGCTCTTCACAGTTGCTGTATTTCGATTCAGCTTCAAGGTGCTAACGGCTAAACATCGCAGTAATTATACGATTATTGCGAAAATAGTGCAGAAGGCACTAATCGAGATCTGGTGTTAGTGGCAATAAGTTTAATTCAAGATTAGTAGCATAAAAAAACTGTACTCGAAAACATTTCATTCTTCTGCCGCCAAACATTTTTAACTGGAGGTTGATGAATGTGGCCAAAAGATTATGATGGGATTTTAAAATCCCGTGACAAATGGATAGAAGTGAAGTATTTAAGTCCCTTTCTCCTGGAAGCAAATGAAGAATATGTTGTATTGTTTGTAATAGTTTGATACAAATAACTCTTTGGTGAAACCAGTGAGTTAATAGAGCAAAAAAGCCCCTAAAAGCAGAGATAGAAAGAATTATATAAGCAATGACGATGATAACCTTTAAGCTGGTTATCTAGAAATGCACACAAAACTATAAAATGTATGTGCAACTGTTTCGCAATTATTTACTGGAAAAATAACTTCATAAAGCCAAAGTTTCAACACATTGAACTGTGGTTTATGAGTTACCAGGAATTATAAACCAGGTTTGGAACATTCAACTGTAAACTTCTAGCACAGAATATTTCCCTTTTTGCAATATTCCAAAAGATTGTCTCCTCCCCTCTATTCTCAATCTCCTGAGAAGCAAAATCAGTAACGGGTTGCAACAAGTTCATATTTTCATCCTGATTCTTACCACGCTTGTTTCATTCTGTTCCACTTTACCCTGTTTTTGTTTGACATGATCAGACATGATCATCCGTGTCCAAATGGCTTGTTAGCCGCTCTGTTCTCCTGTCGAGCCATTAAACCGTCTGAAAATATTTACATAAAATGTTGGTGAATCACCTGTATATGTGGAATATACAAAACACCCACAATAAATTTACAATAGCAGGTCTAAATATAATTTTGCTCGTTTGCCGGTGAAGTAAGACTGCTTCAGTCGGTTTACCACTGCCTTAGCGTTATTTCTGGGCCAGACAGTGTTATTTTCGTGTACCAAACTAACATTAGAACTTGGAGATTTGTGCCTGTGGACATACTTTTTTTTCACCGATTTTCTACTGCAATTTATAGTTCGAAGCAGAAGTCGGAAGTGTTTTGTGTCGAGCTGCAAGCGGATTCGTGCGTTGCATGCGATTCAAGGTGAGTTGCATATCGAACTAATATTTTAAATCCCATGATTTTTTAATAATTGGAGACTCCCACCAGTTAATTACCCGTTGCTTTTGGTAAAAACTGTTTTAGTTCTATTGCTCCTGCTGGTTTTTATATTGAACCTTCATTAGTGTTGTTTGATAAAACGTTATTCGCGTTGTAATAAGAGAAAAGACGTCAGTGCAATGGTTAAAGTAGTCGATATTGCAAAGAATTTCAAAGAAAGCCAAGTTATAGTGAGCGTGAATGATATTTAAAAATACTTATATTAGGGCCCTCCTTTTCCAAATACAGGGTGTCAAATTTCATAATTTCGAAATTCCGAATTCTACAGCTTAAAGAGCTATACTTGGCTTGAAATGAAAAGACAAAATGAAGAACCAACTTCAATGATTCAAAATGGGATACTTTTTGTACGCGTTAAACAGGAGTTCTGCAGTAACTTGAAACTGCCAGGACGGTATTGAATTTTGTTCTAGAATCAAGAAAATAGGCAAGAGAGCAGGAATTCGTTAGACCAGATTCTCATATCTGAAAATGTGTTTAAATAATTTAATAAATAAATAGATAATTAGTCGAATTGGGGGTTTTCAATCCATACAGCAATAAACCAATAGAAAAGCGGAAATTGTCACATTTCAGTTTATTTTCTTTTTAAATTTGAACATAAAAAAAAATTTGTATGTTAGACACAAAATCCTTTGGAAATTTCAAATGCAACATTTTCGAAAGGAAAAAAAGCAACTGTTCTGAATTTTATTAATATTTAGAAAATAAAAATTATATCTAAAAGTTGACGAAAATGAGCAAGTATCCACAGTAAATCAAAGAATGCGCAGTAAAAAGATAAATGCACAAAATTGTGAATACAGAAATTGGAAATTCGCTGCAAATTTGTAAATTGTAAATATTGAAAATACTACTGCTATGGAAGTTGGAAATTCGCCAAATCTTTTTTTCGTGAGATTTTGAAAAGAAATGACAAATATTGAAACCAAAACTTATTTCCTCCAAAGCAAATGTAAACTTAAATGTCTGTTTTGTAGAAAATGTGTTACATATATATTAATAATATTTTTGTTTAGTTTTCCACTATGTTTATTGCAAAATCTTCGATTAAAGGAAGTGTTTAAACACTTCCCTCCAGAAATAATTGAAAACAATATTTTTTATTTCGGTTTTAAGCTTCAGTACTTTCAAACTTCCAATACTACGTATTATTGAAGCAGCTGCATTCAAATCAACATCATTCCTTTTTCTTACCTAAAGAAAATTGTTTTGTTCAAATTATCAACACAAATAAAATAACAAAATGTGAATGATTGCGAAAAAAATAAAGTTTGAAATTCATTATGCCGTAAAACGGTACGAGTTTCTTCATTAGACTCTATTAATCCTTGCTGGTTTTACTCCGAAAGCGGAGCAGTTTTTAAATCATTTCAATTAAGAAGGATTTCAATTGAGCTTCTTAAGGGAAAGGTGAAGAAACTTTCAAACAAAAAACAAAACTTTTTGAATTTAAAAAATGCGGTATATTTTTCATGTTGAAGCAATTGTGATCTTTGACGGTGTTTCTGATGATTCATTTACAAAAAAAAAATAATTTTATTCCCTATCAAAAATTATATTTCTTAGATTTTTCGCGGGAATTTGAGCGAATGCAACTGGTTTCCATTTATATTTATTTAAAATATGAAAATAAGTTTGTGCATTTTCATGGGAAATCAACTCACTTTCATTGCAAGCTTTTCTGGATGTCTAAATATAAAAAATCCGCATCTGAGTCAATAGCTCAAGGACCGGTCAAATGAGCCGCATTATGCTCATCCCATACAAAAATTGTAGGTGTGCTACATTTTCTTGCCACTGCCAAACGAAAACGATCGAAACCACTAAACTCACATGTTTATTATGTCTGATGAAACATAATTTGGCAGCACATGTTTTCTGTTTAAAACCGATATTTTAGGCTTGTTAAATTAAACAATATCGAAAGCCAATACCAGTCGACAGCAAATCATGTATCAAGGTTAATTTTGCAAGGATTTATTTTTAGATGAAATTTGTGGCGTTTTTGCCAAAGCCAAAGCCAAAGCGTTTGCTATTCCAGCAGAGTGATGTAATCACTTTCAAACGTTTTTTAAGCAGGAAGATTTATAATCTAGGCTGGATTTTTCTAACTGTTTTACCTAATTCAATATAATCCTGCTACCAAATATCAATTGGGTCAATAACTCCAAATCCTAAATAAAAAAATGTTTTCCACTATGTTTGGTTTGGGCGACCCACGTGAGATTAGCGATTTTCTGCCACTTGGGCGAACCATATGG